ACTGCCCTTTGATTGATATTGTGACATAGAACAACCTGTTTTGTCATTATTTTCATATAATTCTGAGCCCTCTTAGAGAACATCTGAACTGAGTGACAACATCATAAATATATATAAAAATGTTTTTAGCCAGCTGCAGACTTTACTGTCAATGTGCCAGTAATGATTTGAGTTCCTAAGATGACTCCGGAGATAAATGACTCACTTTATGTGATGGAAATAACTTTCCTTCGGGGTGTTGGGAGGATGCAATGAAGATCCCTCCAGATGTTAAAATATCAGAAAAAGTAATTTTTTTCACAAAGCCAGATACGTGGACTTGTTATGCAGAACTGTGTATTAGGAGGGAAGACAGATTTTCCTTCAATAAGCCAATAATTTTAATCATACTGCATTCCTAAATAGCCTCAAACTCACAGCAGCAGCATTGACAAGCTCAAAACCACATATTTTGATCCACTGGATGTCTGTCTGTGACTCATTTTCCTTTTCAGGGACATTTGGGCGGACTGGAAAAATGCACCATAATGAAAGAATTGGAGATGAGGGCCTAAATCTCATGTGATGTGCCTCCTCACAACAGCAAAGGCTCAGTGCATACCAAAACAATGTCACTTCCACCTATCAGAGGGAGGAAGAGTTATGCTCTTATCAAATCATGCATGAAACAAAATCAAGTATCACCATACGGATATCATTAGGACACTCTTTAACATAGCCCATATTTTCACTTAGTTTAACCAGCAGCAGGTGGTTGTTTAATTTCCAGAGGCCTCCTCCTATGTTTGATGATAACTGTGAACTTTAAATAGATTGCCAAATCAGGTCCATTTAGGGATAGTCAACGTATCTCAGGTTAAAGCTGCTCTGCAAGACACTCCTGGTCTGCTGGAACATATCCAACATAGGAATGGGCTCTGCAGGGTGTATATGACATGCAAATAAATAGGTGGATTTTGGGAAGCACAGGAAGCAGTGACCACAAAAAAGGGAAAAAAGGAGACAAAACCAAGGCAAAGCAAAAGTTCTTTGCATTGGCTCTCATCAATCATATTGGCTCAGAAGAGTTAACATTTACATTATTTACTAACAGGTGGCATTTATTAGAAAACTACAATCAAACAGTGGGCAAAAAACAGGGAAGTACTCATTCCTTTTTGAAAGAGGCTTTTTCTGTCTTCTTTTGTTGCTGTTTTTGTTGCTGTAACTAATTTATATATTTATATTTACAAAGTAAGCCAGTTAGTAAAAATTATTTTATGCTCCCTTGCTACTATAACAACAAAATGAAATCCAAGTTCCTGCATGATGTGACATGTAAACCATTTGCACTGAAGTGACTGCCAGAAATGGATGGAAAGTTTTTATCCTGAAGAAACATTGAAATAAAATGCTAGCATAATATAAAATTATTTACTGATAGCAACTGCAGGATTTTTTGTGTCTTCTCTTTTTAAAAGTCTATGTAGCCAGGTCTAGTATTCAACAATTTAGAGCATCAGCAGAGAAAGTGATGCATTTTCCCATCTAATGCTGGGTAAATCTGAAAACAAGTGCGTTTTTTTAAAAAGGAAGACATAAATCAATTTTGTTGGAATTTCATGAGTTGCACCTAAGTGCAACCTAAGGTAAATCACATATGTTTTCAAAGACAGTACTGTGTGTTACAAATGCTTAACATTTTGCTAGTTTCACTCAAGATCCTGATGCTGGCCAGGTTTTAAAAGCTGGACAGCTTCAGCTCCACCTAGATGCCGTGATCACAATTGTGTGTACTTATCTCACTTAACATTCTTGTCTGCAATGATTCAGCTTCATTTCCTTTCTTTAAGGCAGTTAGAAGTCAATAGAAATAGATAAATGGATTACTTCTTTTTCATAATACAACTTCAGATTTTCCAGACACCCACTTGCTCCTTTGCTCAGAGAAAGGCAGAATGAAGTGCCTATTTTTCTGCACCAGGAAAAAAGTGACAGTTCATTAGCTTTTGCTATCAAGCTCTAAAATTACAGTCACATCAATCCACCTCCTCTGTCCTACGGAGCTTCTCTGTTACCACAAAGCCTATTCAAAATTTCCCCAAGGGCCAAGACCAACACTTGAAAAATAGTCTAACTTTGTATGAAACCAAAAGCATGCCTTATTACCCACCATCTGAGATACCCCCGCCCGACCTCATTCTTTCTAGTTGCTGTTATTTCAGATCCATATCAGTTCTCAGTCCGAACACAGCTGGGAGCAGTGATCTCCACCCTGCCCCCCCAAGCCTGCGTAACATTTGTTTGAATCTTTTATTCATTCACTGATAGAAATATCAAGAGGTTTCTTTAAATGACAGCAATATGCCTGGACAACCAGTCTGCCAGAAGGATTCTTTAGCATTGTGTAAATAATTGGCTGTTAGAGAGAGATTGCTTTGAAGTTACCATTTGCAGCACCCAGAGCACTTGGGCTGGATCAGTTTTTACTGGATTACTTTCATGGCAAGCTCTTTTTTCCCATCTGAAGAGTTTCTTTGTGAGCAATGAATGAGGATGCATCTTGGGAACGATCTGATACTTCAAAAGATGATTCTTGTAGTTTATCTTGCAGTAAGCTTCTCTTCTGAAGGAAACGCTGCAGAGCCCTTTTATCAATCACAATTATAGCACATGCAATGGGCCTTTTATCACTAGGCTGTCTGCACTATCACTTTTCAATATACTCCGAAGCAAATCCTTGCAAGATAGGATTTTATTAGCTTTTATAATGTCATTTATAATGCTATGGTTTTTTTCTGCAAACAGTTCAAAACAAAACTGGTCTTGCTGTAGTCAATGAAAGTTTACTCACTTCCTGGTGAATAACTACAATTTACAATATTTTAGGAATGGTAAAATCAAGAATGTCTTCAAGTTTAAAAACCAGAAATTTTTTTTTTTTAAAGTTTTGTTTTCTGTACTGAGTTTGATCAGAGGGGGAAAAAAAAGAAGAATTTGCACACCCAAACAGTTAGACAAAAGTAAAAGTTAAAATCCGAATAGAAAAATTGATGCCTAATACACATTTAGTATAAGTTTCAGACCATCAGTCTGCAGAAGCAACAAAGACTGACGTTTAAAACCATACCACATTTATCACATTCTAAGCAACACTCCCCTGTAAGTTTCTACACACCCAGACAAAAGTTTATTTTGAAGGTACTAAACACTAAATGTGTTAAAAGCAATAAATTTTTAACTTAAAAAAGCCATGGCCAATGGTTTTTAATACTTGATTATCCTTTGTCACTGAATGATTCAATTATTTTAATATTCTTTAGCATAGCTGCAATGACACCGGAATGCTTATGTGAACACAGTACAAACTTCCATGTAGATAATCCTTTAGTCTGAACAACTCTTGTTCACAGCAATGCCAAGGGTACTAGCTAATGGGTTTTAAAACATGATTTCTAGCATGCAAGTATTGGATACTTGAGCACATGTACATCCTTTAGAAAGTAATTCTGGCAATGTTCTCTTACAAGCAGCTCTTTTGCCATGGTAGATGCACTCTATTTCTTTTGACCTTCCTTCCTATTAAGGCTACATGATCATGGGCAAACTCCTGCTCAGTTCTGTAGATATTTTTTCCTTATTATATGAAGAACTTTTCAAAAACATCCTGCCGGAAAACTTACAATATTCTGCAATTTTAGCTTAAATAATTTTATGGATCAATTGAAGCTGCTACTGGTAACTGGGAAACAAAAATTTATGGCAATTCAGGAAGAACCTTTCTCTCATTTTCTTCAAAGCTCTGTTTTGAGGTACTACATGATCAGTCTTCATTGATCTCAGCAAACAGATTCCTCCAGCTTTGAATTAGACTAAATCCTACAGGCAATGAAAAAACCTAGTCCCAAAACACAGGTTTACATATGCTTTATATGACAAGGACACTTTCCTATGCTTAGCAAAATGATCATACAATTTTCTGTTGCTTCCTGCCTTCATTCACACTGAAGCCAGGTGTCCATAGTTGCATCACATAACAATGGGAAGACCCCTGTAGTAACTAATAATAAGAATAAATTGCTTTTTATCAACATGAGGCAGGCTCACTTCTATAATATGATGTAAAATGCAAAGAGCATCCTTTCAGTTTCTTTTCTTAGCAGTTCTCCATTTTCTGTTGTTATCATGAGTGATACTGTCATGGCAGTTGTGATATTCAGAATAGAAAATGGAAGCAAAAAAAAATCATGACCAGGCAACAAACCTAAATGATACCAAACACACACACAGCATGGCTGCTCTTCAACATGCTTCAGAGATGCTGTCCCAACCTAACAGCAGCTGACTGGGGGGCAGGGCCAGCAAATATGGAAATGAGGTCAAAAAGAGAGAAGCTAGCAGGGCATCTCCAGCACTAATGCAGGAGAGAGCTAGATCTTCTGTGAGTGAGCTCATGTCTGAGCCAAGGACAACCAGGAGAGCCGCTGGGAGAGGGGCAATAATGGCAGGGGTCCTAGTGATGCTGGGGGTGCTCTTGAACAGCTAGCTTGGGAAATAGCTGTGATTTTGGCTGCCAGGTCCACTTGAGCTTCCTCCAGCACAGCCCTATTTGGAATCATTCAGTAACATATGGAAGGAAGCAATGAATCCATATTCACAGAGGTGGAAAATCAGAGCATGACAGTGCAGCATTTTCTCAAGTACCTGTGGGGTTTTTTTGGGCAAGATACCCCGGGATCAGAAACTTCAACCCTACCTGTCTGACTTAATGTACAAAAGAAGTCAGTATCAATACAGAAGCTTGACTGATGTAGTTTCAGAAAACTAGCACATACCTATCCTTCACTAATCAGTCATGATTTAATTTAGAGCCAGTAATCAGTAATCGATTACTTGTACAATGTAACCACAACTTCAGTCCTGGCTGGAAAGCAATTTTTTTCAGAGACACAAGTAACTTCAGTTGTAGAGATGGTTCACACTGCTAGGTTAAAAGAAAAAAAAAAGCCTTGAGAACTTACCACTGAGGTAAGAGCCATTTGAAAACTGTAGATTCTTGCAAGGCCAAAGTCAGCTAACTTTATCTGCCCATTGCTGGTTACAAGGATATTTTGAGGTTTCAGGTCCCGATGCACCACACGATGAGAATGCAGAAAATCCAGTCCCCGAAACAGCTGAAGCATCATATCCTACATATAAAGAAGAAATTAATATGCAATTATCAAGAGGAAGTGCCAGGCAGAGAAGCAAACTCTTTGTCGTAATCTGCAAAACTAATTTACTAAATATCAACCTAAATATGTGCACAGGAGATAAAACCAACTAATAATATAAAATGGACAGGATGTTGTTACAACCTGTTGAACAGGTATCCTTAGTGTATTGTTTCTAGTTGAACTGAAGCTGATTGACAGAAGTATTAAGATTAGTCAATATACTTAGAAGAAATAGCAAAAGTATGTCTGTAAATCCCAGGATAACTTTAGAAGAATGCTGTTCAAGTAAAAAAAATACATAGTAACTTTTTTTTAAACTTTAAACCACACACCACTTTCCATCTCACTAGTTTATGCTTTGTCCTGCCCCAGTGAAGTGAAATTTTATCACTCATTTCAACAGGCACAAAGATCGGTTTCAATCAGAAAAACCGTTTAAATGACAAACTTCCCAGGATTTAATGTTATAGAGGGAAAAAGTTCACTTGGCAAAACCTATTGTGCAGAATTTACTGAATAGTACAGAAACTATCTTTAGATGAAAGTTTAGCACTAAATTAGTGTAATAATAATAACTAACAGTTCTCGTTTTTCTTTCTGTTTTGTTATAGTGATACAATCTTCCTTGACATTTCCACAGCTGAAGAAACTATTTGATCTATACTCATGTTTTGACACTAATCTTAGTAATGTGAAAAGAATGAACCAACAGACTCAAAACCAAATACTAGAAATCCCCTGAATTCCAAATTAGAATTATAATGTCAACTTGAGAATTATATTTGCAAAACAGGCAGTTACAAGAAGATGCTGCAACAAGAAAGAAACAAACCAGACAAAGTTTATTTTCTGTATGCACTTGACTTGAGCTCATGAAACTTCAGTTCTGTGTTTGCTGGTGACATATGCCCTTTCCATAAGCCATGCAGCAGGGTGTCTGCCAATCCTGTTATTAGCAACCAATATGATCTTGGAGAGGGCGTGGCATGAAATATGAGAAAAGGGAAGAAGGCTAAATTGAAGTTGGTTCCTTTTGTTCTTCTCTATGGACTTGGGCATGTTTCAAGTAAATATTCAAGGCACTATTAAAAGGAACTATATCTGAAAATGCATTTAAAAATAGCTCAAAACATTCAAATTGATAATACCGCTTTAGTTGGATGCATTTTTAAGGGACACTTTACAGACACTGCTATATAATTTAACACAAAATTATTATTTTCCCTTAATGTTCCCTGATCATCTTTACAGAAAATGTTATAAAATGTATAGATATTAAGGTTGGAAGCTCTAACCTGACCTCTGATAGAAGATGGCCACCTCTGTATATAGCCTGCTCATAAATAAATAAAAGTTTTTATTTGAAGACTCTGATGATGGAGATTCTACAGTGGAGCTATGGATGCTGTGACAGCATTTAATTATTATCACCTCTGAAGGATGGTGGTAAACCGAGAACCCCATTTCCTGTTAGCTGATGCCTTTTATTTCCTTTGCTTCCCCAGAAAAAATTGAGATCTGATAATTTCAATAACTGGTATAATACAGATTACATCTTTAAAACAAAGTGTATTTAATCCTCTTATAATTATGTTATTTTCCTTTGCAGTTCAGAAATTTGCGTAAGAACTAGGACTACAGCTCTGTGGGTTTCATTCATCAGCAGAATTAATGCATGTCCTATCTTCTCACTCCCTGTCATTATAACTTATATCAAAATTCAACAGTCTGGATCAGTCTTGCAGATGTGAAGAACACACCAAGAACATTGAAGTGTATGGTTATTTTAAGTACGAACTTGATTGAATTTGGGCCTATTTTTACTTTTTTATTCCAGGTAGACATAATATTGAATAAGAAAATCATTTAAAGAACTGAAGGATTAGTCAGTAGACCCTGGCAAGTCCCTTTTTGGTGACATTTATGCACCCTACTCATTTGTCAAGTATGTAAACTCATTCCTGCAGTTACCAAACATATCAAGAATATTTTTTCCTATAACTGATGCTGGTTTTGTTTCGACTTTCTTCCTCAAGCACAGCAAACACACTTCTGCTCTGTTCATAGCAAGTTACAAGCAGTCTTCTCCAGGTACAGGTAAAAGAAGAAAATATTTGAAAATGGAAAGTGATATATCTTTCCCTCCCTTCATAGGACTCAAGAGATGAATATCATTTACAGAAGTTCTTTTCACACAGAAAAAATGAGATGTGCTGCAGAAAACCAGGAAACTGTAAATTTAAAAGGTGTTAGAAAGAAGAAAAACTGAGGGGGAAAAATGCTGTATTTTCTCTTCCAGGAAATCCAGAGTTAGTCCATCTAGGCTATTCTCTAGTATTCATTTTGGACTGTTGATTATGTTTATTACTTACTATTACAGGTATGAACAGATTTCAGTTTAAAATTATGTTGGAAGAACAGCCCGGAGATTCATGTGTGTAAAGAAGGGTGTTTGGATGCAAAAAGACTATTTGGTATTTTTGATTCATTTTTGTCCTGTTTTTAAATTCCCAGCAACTTAGGAAAAGAGCAGAAGCCAAAATCATGACATGGGCTTATTATTACGCATTTTAAATAGAGTCCCAAATAGTACAGCCTAGAATTTGATACTTATTTGCACAAATGGATTTTCAATACCAAAGCAAATAAAAGAGAGAACTTTTAAATTGCTTTTTTATCCATAATGAATGATTAATTTTGTGCTGTACACAAGCCTAGTCAAAAACCATTAGGCCTCACATTTGAGAAATGACTTCATTCTCTTGCTCAGCCACTTGTAAGAAACATCGGATTCAGTCTGGGCTGTGTGCTTTCTTTGACACTGTAACTAACACCAGAAGATACTAACCTTTGCTAGCAAATTGGATAAAAGCCGTAAACATGCACAAGCCAGATCACTACCTAATTAAATCAGGATAATTCCACTCATCTGACGGAAATGGGTCCATTTTTATTAGTGATGAATATCCAGTATTATCTCAATTACTATGATCTAGAAATAACTACAAGAGAGTCTTCATGTGCCTCAAGGATTAGTTTTTTCCATGTCTGCTTTTCACTGAGAAATTTTCTGTGGTAGATAGGCATACTGCACTTCGGAATTACTGATAAAATCATATTTCAAAAGTTAATTGAAAAGTGATCAATTCTATTCCACAAACAAGAAGTTTCATGCCTTAGGAGATTAATGGAACAAGCTCTAATGAGTCATGATCAAACCTCTACTGACGTCTATCAGATGTTCTTTGGATAGTGCATGTTTACAAACACAAGACACAGAATGTGCCTGTTGTTTCAGACTACACAGTTCTGTCATGCTCTAATATTACAAAACCTATGATGGCTGCTGTTGCTCAAGTTGAAGATATGTACATTATCCCACTGTGGTTATGTTCAGACAATCATGGCTTTACAATTTCTTCCTTTTCAGGCTACATTTTCAATGCAGTCTATGCAGAAATCTAAAATACTTATCTGTAACTGGAAAACTGAGCTATTTTGGGATGCAACAAACAAACACACTTTCTTTAGAGGCAAATATGTAGCTTTAATTTTTGTAAAAGCCTCATAATGGAAACAGGAGCAAAATTTGTTATGGATATGCTGCATCTTTGCCTGTTCCACCATATATGGTATTGACAATGATTGTTCAGTCTGATATTTACTGAATTTATCAGCAGTGAAGTCAGGACCAAATTACGATGAACTTTTCAAGCAACACCGTATTATGTCATGAGTCTCAATAATACACAGAAGTACGTTCTGCATATTCTTCCTCTAGCATCAAGGAGGATGGGGCTAGGCTTGGGCGAGGCTGAGCAGCTGCTGCTACCTTTGCCAAAGGGAGCTTCACAGCACACACTTCCCCACTCAGGGGCAGCAGGAGCAAAAAGCCCTGACTTCCTACAGACTTCTGTCTCCACCTTGTCCTATCCCCTCCTCTTGACTCTATCTTTCACTGACCCCTCTTAATCTTCCTCCAGCGTCTGATCCATAAAATTCCTTCCAAGCCATTGGCTTTCAAATACCACTCTGATTCTTTAAGAGTCACCAACCTTTTTGACTTGCAAAGAAAATACCTGAGAGTTATCTGCAGTAACTTACTACTTGTTTAAGACCAGCCAAATTCTCTGGAGGAGGACTCTACCTGCCTAACCCAAAAGAGGATGGCATGGCTTTTGACAGAACATTCAAATATCTACTCAAAGAAAAAAGAAACTGTGAAGTTGGTTGTTATGTTGGTGCCTGGGCACCAGCAGCCAGGACTGCAGGGGCCTCTGTCAGGGGAGACCATGGGCTGTCTCCTGCCAGACACACTCAGCTCCAGTCAGCTCTGTAGGATCCACTGCAGTGTATGGCTGGGCCTGTCAGCCAGGACAGTGGTGCTTCTGTGAAAACATAACTAAGAAAGGGAAGAAAAAGATGGAGGAAAAGGGAACAAAAGGAGTGAGAAACAGCACAGGAAACACCAAGGTGAGAGGAGGAGGAAGAGAAGTAAGAGGAGAAAGAGGAGATACTCCATGGTGGAGCAGATATCCACGCTGCAGCCCGTGGAGGACCTACACTAGAGCAGGCAGATATTCCTGAGGAAACTGCAGCCTGTGGAAAGGACCTAGGTTGGAGCAGGTAGAAAGTGTGAGGAGGAAGGAGCAGGAGAGAGGAGCTGCTATGGACTGATCACAACCCCTCACGTTCCATTCTCCTGTACTGCTCGGGTTGAGGACAGTCAGAAGTGATGTGTAGCCTGCAAAAAGACAGGGGAAGGTGTGATTTGAACATCTGTCTTTTTTCACCACCATCTGAATTAGCAATTCAATATCTATCTTGACTGGTATTGAACTAAGTTGATTTTCTCCAAGATAAGTCTATTTTGCCTATGATGTGACTGATAAGCAATTTCTCTTCTCTCAGACTATGAGCCTTCCTGCTTCTTGTTCTTTTCTACTTTCTGTAGCTGAAGTGGGGGAAGTGAG